GCTAATATTAACGAATTTCAGAAAAATAACAATAATTAGCAGCTGTGGTGCATTTACATTATTAAGAATCTTTCAGTGCAATTCTATACATGATATGCTTAGATAAGTATTTCTGAATTTACACTTTTACAAAACCATCAACTGAAAGGACATAAAATACATTCAAGACTGAACAGAGAAGCCAGAGAGCTGTGAATAAAAAGACAATGTGTTTCAGTTGATACAACATGACACAGAAAGTACTGTACATTTTAGGACTCAAAAGCCACTACCCATTGCAGGCTTGAACTTGACAGCAAGGTCCTACATGGGCTAGAGTTACCCAACGCCCACGTTCTCCAGTTTGTCTTGGTACAGCCTTAAGTTCACTTGTCAGAGTTACTCGCTTTTGTGACATGACTGTTCACAAGACAAGACTCCTCAGCCTGGTAACTCCTCTGGATGAATCCCTTAGTGACAGCCACAGAGCCCGCAGTCCTACTGAAAGCACTCCGGAGCTCTAGAGCGGCGGCAGGGCCAGACCGTACCAGCCCCGGGACCAGGAATATCGCCCACTGCTGAGCTGTGTCAGCGTGAAAGCAAGTTTATGGAGGTATCCTTGGCAAATATTAACCTGCTGCTTTGATGGCCTTGCAGAGCTCAGCAGGCACTAACAATACTGCAACACTCACTTGAGCAAGAGAACACGGGGCTTTGGATATCTTGAACAGTCGTTGTGGCAGGCACTGAGTACAACATTTTAATGGGCTACAGTTAATCATCTATAAAAAACATATGTTCAGCATGAATTTAAATTGTAAACGATAATAAATAATACAGTATCTCCAAGCGCATTTTAAAATATACATTATGAAATAAAATTTAATTTTCAGAAAAGCTTTCAGCCTTTTCAGTTCAAAAATACATTTAACCAATCCTTTGTAAACAACTCCAGCTGGTTTGCCTGCCTGAAAATTTTGATTTATGAAACCCTCCTGCCTAGTGCAGAACACTTACTTGTAATAACTTTCCTTATTTCTTTTTCTCTAAGGCAGATTAAGAGCTGAAATCACAAAAACTGTTAATGTAGCAACTACATTAATTTATCGTAATGGTCGTAATTTGGTTTTATTTTAGTTTTTTTAGTAAACATATAAATATCCAAATATCCACTAACGGAAGCTACTGTGCAGACTGCAAGTACCACAGTAGAAGCAGTACTTAGATTTAAAATGCACACATTTCCTTCTGGATCAGAAAAGGTAGGTTCCCTCCAGTCACAGAAAAGGTCTCCATGCACCTCCCTGTTAGTCACTGCAATACATCCATTAACATGAACCTGGCTAAATGTTATGTTCAGTGGGAATTAGAAGCAGCGCACTGCACCACTTCTCCAAGGCTGTTAATTTTGATCTATGCTATTCAGCGCAGCGTGGCATAGCTATCTTGACATACCAGTATTTCAAGAAACATAAGTTTATAGGTAATAACAAGATAGCTGAGTGGGGCAGAAAAGCCCTTTCTGTAACACACCCTTTGTGCACAGAGATTTTCCCAACTGATCTCATCAACTCCCTACACAGAAGATGTGAGGGCAGGCTGAGCTTCCTCGTGTCTCACACCCTGCGTAGTGAGAGGCGAATGAAATGATGCCGAGCAACTGCTGTTCCCAACGGCCTCAGTGACCCTCTTGGCAGCTAATGGGGAAGATGCAGTTTCTCAGCAGCATATTCCTCTGCAGTGCCCATGCACCGAGGATCTGGCCTCCAGACATTCTGGGCAAAGCTGTGAAACAAAGGGATTCACCCAATTTATCCTGGGACAGCCCTTCTCAGTGCAAATAGCACGTGAATGTTGGAGGGAACTTCAAGAAATCCAACTGCTTCCATGTGGAGTTCATAAAAAGGATGGTGTGTTTATGTTACCACCAATAGTAGGAAATATCATCTGATGAATTGGAATCTCTTTCCAAATGCCTATTCCCATGTATCGTCATTAAAAAATCTTCATAAGGTCATACTCTCTATTAATCCGTTCCAGAAGGCATATATAGCACAAATAAGAGAACACCTTTACAGGAACAATTTGTTACAAACTATATCAAAACATTGAAGATGCTGATGTTTGTACATTCGTAATCTTTCATAAACAGGAGGATTTCAATGCTTTAGAAAACTAGGAATATCGCAGAGAGGAAGACAAAGAAAAGACAGGTGTCAAAAAGAAGTTGGAAAGAGAGCACCATATGAAAATCATACTTTACTTTTTATGTCCATTTAACAAGCTAATTAAATGTTGCACAATGCTATATTGAAGTTTAAGTAAGCTACCTGGGATAAAATCCTGGCCCACTTGAAGTCAACAGTAAGAGGATTTTACCTGCAAATCTTACTATCTTTGAGAAGATATTAAAACAAACGGTATACACTGAAGCTTCAGATGAAAGGCTTCAGTCAAAAAATGAAGAGGAAGAAAAGAACACATTGTTTGGTTTTTTTAAAGTACATGCCATGTAAACTACTCTACATGGCAATCTCTCTGGTCTTTGAAACACTGAATGCAATACCATAAGTAACTTTTAGCTTTATTTTTATTTATCATATAGCAAGGCTCTTCTGTAGTTGTAAATAATTTTTAAAATTGTATCATTGCGTTGTACACTTGCTTTATGAAAGTGCAGACCAAAGATTTTAGCAAATAGTGCTGTATTACTTTCATGTCACATGTACAAAATGATACAAAAATAGCTCCTTGATTGACATATGATAATATCCTTAGGTCACAAATATAATATAGCATTATAGCACAGGTATTGCTTAGTACAGGAATAGTATCCGTAGGATACCCTCATCTGATCAAGAATTTAAAAATCACATCTGTAAAGTATCCAATAAATTTTCAATTAATTGATAGCTATAGTCTTCAGTGAGCTGCCCTGACACTAAAAACATGAGACACAGAACTTAATCTAATCTTACTTACTCATATTTCATCACCCTCTTCTGCTTCCTAACTGAAAAATATTTCTAAAAACTGCCAAGATGTTCTTTATGGATCAAAAAGCAAGTGAAGTTTATAAAAAAGTACTCATAAGAAATTTGGACAAATGTAACTGCTAGCCTGAAAGTGTGTAACACAACTATTTTGTAATTCAGTGTTATACATGTAGCTTATATTTTTAACTTTCAACAATTTTATCTGCATCTAAAACAGAGTAGTGAGTTATAGCACCTTGCGTGAAATTTGTTCTAAAAAATACAAAGATTACACTTTTTAAAATTGTATGAAATACAACTATTCTATCTCATGTCCACTATGCACCTAAAATTTAAAAGGAAACTAATTTACGTTATGGAATTTTAAAGTTAGAGATGTAGTGAATCCTTGCTTTCTCATCAAATTAGCTCACACCAGAAAAAGGTGTATCCACAATTTTCACAAAAGCTGTATTATCATAAAATCATTGAAGCTAAAAATGGAAACTGTCTATTCAAGTATGTAGTTCCAACTCTTGCCAAAGGAAGATTATTTTCCACTACTGCATACCATCTCTACTTAAAACCTTCCAAGAAATTATATGCATTGATGAGCACTACTGCACCATTCCATAAGCTAACTGATATCTTCGGTAGGATCCATCCCCTGATATTCACTGGATATTTAGCTTCTTTCACATTTATATAATCAGTTCTAGTTACACCTTCACTCTTAGAAAGCCACTTCCTCTACATGTTTCTGTCATATAACAAAAAAATTATACATACTTAACGACTCAATCTTTCCAACTTCTTTCTCCCTTCAACTAATTTTGCTACTCTTCTCTGACTTTTCAGAAAATTGACTTAATTCCTCACCTCGGAGGTATTCAAAATCTAAGACTCAGCAATCACATGTATTCAGGTTTCCAGCTGCCTGATGCAGCTCTTCGCCATATCTGCTCTTCTTTTGACATTCGTGATGCCAGAAGCAACTTTGTTGCCTACATTATCCAGGCTTCTTACTATATCATTACATTTTCAATTTTCTCTCACTAAGTATCCAGGTTTCCTCAAATGCAGTACCTTTTCCCTGAATCTCTTAGGCTGCATCTATCTTTGCTGGACCTCTCTCACTCGAGCATCATATGGTGTAATATCATCTGTAACTCTTCTTAATATACTGTAGATCCCTCTAGCACTTTACTGAGGACATTAAATAGAATTAGACCAGCACAATATAAAAAATTAATGGGGAGGGAGCGATTAAGATTGCACAATGGGATTATTCAAAGCACAATTTAAATTTTAAGATGCTATTTCAAATGTATTTTATCTCATTTAGCTATTTATAAGAAGTTAAATATCTCACTAGAGCTACAGCTTCTAAATGCAATTCTATAGTTTTTCTGCATATATAATTAAACAGAGTAGGCAACATGCTGACAATCAGTCTTCCTCTGCAACAAGTCCCAGTCCAACCACTGTTCAGAGAAATGTAGGCACATCAAATTTACTCCTCAACACAAACTTTTAACCAGTTAATATCATATCTATTATTCTACATACCTTTAATATTACAAATGAAAATACAGAGATCTAAATTTGCACTGACAATTGAGAATCCAGCTCCTTTCAAAAGTCCTTCTGGAATTCTACAGTATGATCCTGTAATTCAAAGAATGTTGAACAACATCCTAACAGTACTTAAAGCTGGAAAGGTATTATTTAATATAAATCTTAACCTTTTAAGCCACCTAGTCTATGAAAAAAAATCATTATTTAATTTATGCTCTGTTCTCCAAAAGATTCACTTTCAAGACAATTTGTCAACTCTTCTTCTGTTCTTGATGATGACTACAGGTCACAACAGAACTTTCAGAAAAGAAAGCACAGTAGCCAAATATTCCAATTCTTAAAGCTGTTTGTGAACCTATTGAAAATAATTTGTCTAAAGAAATGAAAAATTACAAATCAAAGTGAAACCAAGGTAAGGTAAGTCTGAAGATATATTAATTGTAAAAATAATACAGTCCATACTATTTTATGCACAGTTGTTTATTCTTGTTCCATGTTTTAAAACTTGGACTCAGAAAAATCACAGGAAGTTTTGGTTTTTTACCCTTTTTTCCATTAAAAGCACCATAGTTACAAGGCTTGATTCAATCGTCCTTTTCCACGATCACTTCTCCATGAAGCACCCTTCTTCTCTGCCGCAGCATGTGGAAGTAGAGTTGTGGAAATACTTGATCAAAGCATAAAAGAAAGCAAATTAGATTAAAGAATTCAACAGATCACGTAACAGAGAAATACAACTTTGCAGAATGATGAACTGAGGAAAAATTATGGCACACAGTGCTGCAGTTGGTTAAGGTAAATAATAGCAAGTCACGAACACTGCAGTGAATAACAAAACAATAATTACTCAAGAGTCAGACAAGGCCCCCTGAATGCACACTCTGTGTTCAAGGAATACTTTCTTAGTATAAATGGGACTTAACTACTTTCCAGCAAGTCTTTAAATCTGTGCTAAGGTAAGAATGTTTGAATTAAGACTTTGAGGAGTATACAAATTCACTCTACTTGCTCAAGTCTGAAGTAAGGAGCTCCCTGTCTCCTTGCCCTCTGAGATCTATTATACTACTGTCCTACCAATACATTTGATCCTTATATTTAATGGACAGAAAATTAGGTTTACACCTGACGCATTAAGTTATACAAACAATTGTAAAACTGTTAGCAATATGATATCTTAGGACATCTTTCACTCATATATCTCTGGTTGGCCTTCAATATTTTGATTTTTTGAGACAAAAAAGTTCAGTGTGTGTACACACTGAAAGTTCATGTTTAAGGTCAATTTCTTAAATGAACACCTTTCATGGTTGCAGATCACAACCCTTTTAACTTCAATCTTCCTGCTTCTCACCAGCTCTCCCCAACCACTTGCCTTGTTTCTAGCCTCACTGCCTAGATTATCTAAAATATTCTGTTTGCCTAGTTTGGTGCTATATCTGAATCAGGTAGCTTTCTCCTTGTCCATACCACTTAGGTACCAGTAAAAGTAATGCTGGAAGCAAAAGACTGACAGTGTCTCTGTTGTAGCCCTGGTGAGCCAACTGATCTGTGCCTTCTGGTATCCAAAAGGACAAGGACAATCTGATTAAACCAGGGACTCAGGTATGTTCAGAGAGGTTTGAGGGGTGGATTTCTGTGAAAATAAAATCTTGGGAGTATATTGCTTTAAGTTTTTCCCAAGCATGCTCAAATAGTGATTCTGAGAGGTGACATGTAAATGGATATTAATAGAAATAAAAACAATGCAAATCTCTGGCGCAACTTGCAGAACAATAATTAAGCTTCAAAGTGGCACAAGAACTAGAAACTCTCAGCGATGCAGCTACAGACATTTCTGTGTTTGAGCAAAAAGTTTAACTTTGTCCAAGTCTTAGAAATGTTTTTAGCATTTTCACTGAAATTTTTAAGACAGCTTATGTTCAGAGGCAGATAACAGGACGGAAAATTTCAGTCTAACCAATTAAAGCATGGCAAAGCTCAGAACAACAGAAAGCAGGCTTTTTTTAGTAGAAAACGTTCAGCAAATTTAACTACAGGCAGTGTTTACAGCATTGCTGATAACTGATTATTATGTTAGCATTATTACAGTTAAGTAATACTTACACGGCACATAGGAGAACATGACAATAATAAGGAAGTAATAGTAGTCAAAGGAGACATTATATTTGTTGGGAAGTCTCAGTGAAAACATTCCTGTTTTCTTTACATAGGGTAAAGCAGCATATATGGTTAGCAGTTCACCTGCAACTCCAGCAGGATACAAAACAATAAAAAAGTTGTATCTGCATTAAAAAAAAAAAACAAACAAACAACAAATCCTTGTGAGAAACACCTCAGGAATTTAAAATTTCCTGTTGCTATTATTAGTGGCACAGCAATGTGTTACAGCAGTTCCTGCACCAAAATCAAGGACTACATCCCGACTTGGCACAGAATATCAGTTTCAGTTACTTTGCATAGCGTTGCTCAGGTTTACAGAGAATGCATTCCTCAATCCTTTTGCTTAAAAACAATGTTTGTTTGTCTTTCTATTACTAAAGGGTAAACAAAACCCTGCAAATTTGTAGTCTCCAATAATGACTTTTAAAAAAAAATCTACTGATCTTGTTCCAGTTGTCACCAGCAGGATTCAGACCAGGACCACATCCCAAATTCAGACGATCCTACACGTCTTTGTCACGGTGTACACCCACTGAGTCAACTCTGTGTACAGTAATTTCTTTGAAGACAACGAAAAGGTTGAGAAACATCAGAAGCCTGTTTTACCCACTGCCACATGGGAAATCCAAATAGTACTACATGTACCAGTGATGGAAATGGAAATAAAAAATTAAAGAAAATGTGAGTGCCAGAAACTTAGCAGAACCATTTTAAAATGGGAAGATGTTCAAATGAAGGTGAAGGCATTCAGTTTTAAGAAAATGTGGTTTGAATGCCATAGCACACATAGGTGGTGACAAAATGAAAAATGTAATCAATAGGGTTTGTGCTGTCCTTACGAACAGCGCACCACAGAGATGCAGTTTCTCCTCAAGAACAGCTTTTGCGTTCATGCAGGGAACAGCAATGTGAGCTGTTGCACAGAGGGAAAGGTACTATGAGCTCTCCATGACCAAAGGAGATGAGATCCAAAACAGCAGCAACCAGATATGAAACCTTCCGAGGAGCCTGGAGGACCCACAGGTCAGAGAACAGATTAGGGGAGGTATAAGGAAGAACTGGTGCCATGACCTACACACGGTTTGTCTCTGTGCAGTGAAAAAAGAACTGAAGAATTCTAAACTAAAATTTAGAGCATTCCTGTACCATTAACAACAGACAGATAAATCTTTTACAATTATAAGTTAAAGATCAGAAATTTCCAGCTCCTTTGGAGTACTGAATTTATGCCCAGTTGTGTTGTTTGGTTATCCATAAATATTGAGGGGATATTTTGGACTCTATGAAAAGATAATACATTTTCAAATGTTTTGTTTGCAGTATATTTCACCATATATCTCTGCTTAAAGAATGTCAAGTTTTCCCTCTTGTCTACTGTAAAGAAACAAAAATTCTATCATTCAAGACCCACTGACTTGATGGCAAGAAGCATATCTGTCACGGTAGTGATTTCTGAATGCATTTCTCTTTCTGAAGCCTACATTAAAAAATATTAATGAAACTAGACCTGATTATTTTTAAGTTTGCCATCTAGTGCTTAAACATAATCAGGCCTACACCTTAGGTATTAGCAAAACGTATTATAAGAATGTATATAAATGCCAGACGTATCAAAGAAGTGCATGAGAAGCATCAGAACTGCATAATTGATAAAACATAAATAGAAGAAAATGAACAAACACGCTGTTTTAAATATGAGTTGCCTGTGCTGAAGGTAGGTTAGATATTTTCCTTGTTAACAGTGAAGTATGTCAGTCTTATATGTATTTTTCAAATCATGACTGCAGAAGATACTCCTGTTCCAGTTAAGTCTCCTGATAAACATGCAGTCTCTATAATACATGCGGCCTAGTGGCCAACCTTAAGTATGCTTCAAAATCAGATCAGTTTTGATACGGACCAGGTATTTTATGCAGCTAAACTAAGTCACTATTTAGCTTCACTACTTGGATATAACCCTACAACAGTTCTGATAAATCAGAACTTCTCATAAAGTAATAATATATGTACAGATTGAGTGACAACAACTCCCACACTTCAAAGACCTGGAATCCACAAAAACTAGCACAGATGCTTAATTTTGAGCAGTGTATGCAAAAGTATCTTCAGAAGTCATACTGTAAGTTAAAAGATGACTCCAGAGACAAAGAAAAAACAATTAAAGTAAATGAAACCTCAGTTGTAACCGTGAGGCACAGAAAGCAAAGAACAAACCACATCCCAGAAACTCAGCTAAAATATTGAAAATGTTTTAAACCAAGTAACAACGATCCCAAGCACAAAAAGCAACCGGTTTGCACTCCGCTGACACATAACCAAAGCTCAGACATCTGCTCTCCTGTGTGTTAGCTCAGCATGCGTGAAACTAACGTGCACAGAACCATGAGAAACTGAAGTGCAAGACGTCTCCACCTGGCCCATTTAATGAAGTATGGCAAATGGTTGAGTAGGTTGAATGTGTAGAAGGAATATCGAGTAATCTCTGTCACAGTCCATACGACCAGAAAAAGAATAACGCTCTCCTCATTCTGGATCTGCAGAAGTATAAAGAACCAACACTTTCTTCATCCTTAAGCTTCTTTTCTGTGCATACTGCAACAAACTTCTGTTCAAGATATATGGAACAGAACTAACATCTTGTAAAGAAAGAGTACTTTGGCATAAAAATGATATGCTGAAACAATTAGCATGTACAGTTCTTTATCATAGCTATTTACTAACACCAAGACATTTTGCAAATTGAGCAATCTATCCATTATACAAATATGAAAATGTAAAACCCTATAATTAAGCTTATTTATCTTCTTTATTCTCGACCTGCATTTTCATTAAGCTATCTAACTGTCTTCCTCTTTTCTTTTGTGGTTGATTCGTTTATTTTCTTATTCCTCAAAACAGCAAGAAAATAACAATACAGAAGATATGTTCCTTTCATAATCAGTTCTTGCCTGTCACTACTCTGTCTCCTATATTTTCGCTTTCTTTTTATCTTGCTTCTTCCTCACCGTATAATGTAATATCCATGAAACTTTAGACAAAAGGAATTGCTTGGTATAACCTACTAACTGGAACTTAGCCACAAAAGACCAAATTTGGCAGACTTTGGTGAGCAGTAAGATAGCTAAGGAGCTGGAACACAGATGGATCACCAAATGAAGAGTAGTTGGTAGATCAGGAGCTTTGGGTAAACTCAACAATCTTGTTTATGATTTACGATCTGAGTCATTAAACTGTCTCATCGGTAGGTAGCACATCCCTCTGCTGTTTCAAAACACTGGTTCTTTTTCACTCTAAGTGAACACATAAACAAAAGTCCCCAAACACAAAGAAGGTGTATGGGGATTCCTTAGAAACACCACCTTCTGAGAAGAAGAATTACACACAAGTAATTTTCTTTCCTTTAAAAGGAGAGCGTTTGTAATACACTTCCATGCTTGAATGCTGACACCCCTCCAGGGATGTCTGTGAAATAATATACAGTAAAGTAAGTTTTGCTAAAATTACAAAAAAGAGAAACATTTTTTTTTTAGATAAAATGCAGAATGGTGACAAAGCTTAATACACCTCAAAGATGCTGAAAATTCACAACTCTGTCCAAAGTCTCGAAGAATTGTAAGTGCTTGTCACCTCATAAAATTGCACCCTTAATGTGTCAGTGAAAAAGGGTGCACTTTTAGTGAAATGATCTCACAAAAGTCACAAAAGGAGATATAAAAACGCTGCCAAGCTCACAAACAAATTGCAACAACTGAAGTGCAAAGACATCCAAACAAATAAGCCATTTACCTTGGCTTGACAGAATTAGGCTGTTCTTAGCCTCAGGCGATTAAAGACAAATATTGATAACCCAGACTTGGATTCATGTCAAAGTGCTAAATCCAAGCAGAGGAGCTTTTAGTAAGTAAGCAGAGAAGTCCTATCTTTTTTTGCCTTGCAAATCTCCAGCCAAGTAGAGAGATCTGGGTCTGGCTATCAGCATTAACATGCCTCTCACCACCTAAAGTGACCCTGAACATTCATGCCTGCTAAGCAGTAATAGCATGAAATACAATCAGACATACATTTGGACACAGCTTGGCCTACTGTGCTGAAGACAGAGAAAACAAAAGCAATGACTGGATGTGCTAAAGATTTAATCCGCTGCAGATAACAACAAAACAGGAAAATGTACTGCTATATTCCAGCATTCATGTAAACACTCAATTCAAAAAAAATGTTAATCTTTTGAGACATTTTCCCTTAAGGAAAAAATGAAAACACTTAGATTATTTTTTTTAAAAAACAAAGCTATGAAAAGCCTATTCCACGTTAAGAAAAATCACAGTAAAGGAAAAAATGAATTGTAGAGTCCTCTCTGAACTGAAACAAAGGGATTTGACAACTGAGGCAAGTGCTGCGAAATCCCATCAGGAGACAGACATATGCCATCTGCTGGCGAGACAGTTTAATGGCTCAGCTTTTTAAGCTTAAAAGACATTCCGGAGCAGACTCAAAATCCATTGCTTAATTCTCACGCACCCTTCACAGAAAGCAGACCTCAGAACTGAATGGCCTATCTGCTAGGTGCAAACATTCTGCTTGTTTCATTCTGCTAACAGTAACCACCTACAGCCAGGCAAATAAACTGCTGCCATTGATACAGAATCATAGAATGGCCTAGGCTGGAAGGGACCTTAGAGATCATTTTAATCCAGCCTCCCTGTCACCAGGGATACTACCTCTTGACTAGATCAGGCAACACATGGGGACTAAACGGGATGTTAAGTGTCACCAGAATGACTTGATATATATTTTTAATGAAAAAAGTGCAGTATACATGCCATCAAATGTTAATACTATCATAACATTAAAATCTTGAGAAGGATCCTAAAATGAATTGCAAAATCGCAACCATGTTTATCCAGGTAAACTCAGTTTAAGACTTATTTTCATTGAGATCAATTCAGTGAGTCTTAATTTAAGTTTTTGAAAGTGAACTGGTGGTAGATTTGTGGTTAAATAACAGCAGTAGCCATTGAACTCCCTTAGGCAGGCCACAGCTGGCACAATGCCAAACACAGCTCTGATTCAGAAGTATATAAATTCTATCCTGTAATCCAACCTTTCAAAACCATATTCAAGTATGTAAGTATTCTCTATAGGAATGTCATTAATTTTTGAATTGGTCTTCCTTGGGAAATGAGAACAGTCTTAATAGTTTCTCCTTAAAAACAATCAAAACATGACTTGCTCGCTCACATACCTGTTTTATGCTATGTGCAATGAACCACACCATGAAGATTCTTGAACTCACTTGGACCCCAGTCACAAGGACAGATGTGCGAACTATTCCTTAAAAAGAGAAACGTGTTATCTCTGTTCCATAATTCACATTTTAACTAGTTACAGGACAAACTAGAACAAAGAACTCACCAACTGCACAGTGGACTACCTGTAAATAAAAATAAGTTAGAGGTTACCGATGTGCAGTATGTTACTATGTACACTATAAACACAGCCTTCTGATATTAATAAAAACCTAGGCTTAATTCTGAAGAACTTGTTTTTGTCTCCAACTAAATCTTTTATAAGAAATACACATCAGAAGAACCCTGGCAACCAATGCTGTGATAGGCTCTGTATCTGATTTGTGCAATACTCCATACTTTACATATTTAGATACTTACAAAGCACTTATTTCCATTATCTTATTCAAAGAAGAATTTTACAGGACAATGTGGAGGGAGTCATATAGGGGATGCTAAAATCACAGTAATTTTAAAAATTCTGTATTTCTTACAGAGTAACAACATTATTACAATTTTGCCAATGACAGCTATGAAACTTCAGATTTATTGTGTTTCCTGGTCAGTGATGTTTAGCAAATAGAGTGCTTTTCATTATTTTGACAGATTAGAGTAGAATTACTTATAGTAAAAATTTAACAGCATGAAAGCCTATATACAGGTGGTCACATGATTTTGATAGTTGCCTGGACTGTATGCAGACTGAGGAAAAAAACGTTAAAATGTAGACAGGCAATCTTTGTTGTGCCTGGGAAAAAACTCTTAAAGCGTTTAAGCCACCCAACAGTTTCATTCCATAGGTGTACCATAAACTGAGACCACTAGTGCATAGCTGGCAGAAGCCCTACCATTTAAATACTTTGCACAACCTGCACAAACCCTGCTGAAACAGATTATATAGGGCATGGGAACTCAGTTTGGAAATAAGTAGAAGCAGGAAAGGCACAGAAGGATAACGAGCCCAGTATAAGGAACAAACAGGAATCCATGATGGAGATGGAGATGAGATACCTACTATGCTAGAGGGCTGATCTGCTGGCTGGAATGCTTCAGAGATTTTGCCTTTTGAGTTAAAGACTCTCAAATCCAAGCAGTTCCCAGGCAGTACACAATTTAAAGAAATACTAGAATTAGTTTGAAAAAAATGTGCCCATTTATGTCAGCTACTCACCTTGCCCTTCAAAAAGCCTCCATTAAATAATAAAGTTATAAGGACCTTAAGTATTAATATAATGACGCTGAATTCAGGTTAATAATGTGCTTTGTCTATGATATGCAGCACGCAGTAAAGCAAACTAATGTTTAAAATTTACCTCAAGCAAAGCAAACGTCTGGAAAAATTTAAGCGTCTTTTGAACGCTTCTGAATAAGCCTCTATGTGTTCCTTTCTGTATATAAAACCGCACCATGGCAATACCTAACACCAGCCACCTACAAAAGAAAGAGAATGGATACATTTCAAATTAGAATTCTAAAAATATTCATCCACCATAAATAATTTAGTAGAATGTTTTCTTCATGGAATATCTTTGCTTCCTCACTTGTCAGTGTTCTTAGGAGATTATTAAAAATATCTTCAGACATAAATATTACATAATATTATGTAAACACTACATTCTTTTATCTCTTTACTTGGCGGAAAAGGATAGAGAATGACTTGTTTACTCTCAGAGGACTGACTTGAATTGAGGGGACCCCCAAAACCCCAGGTCCATCAGACCTTTCATTAGCAGTGAATACATATTTTTAATACTAAATCCTCACGCCTCTTTACTGTGAATTACCGTTATTTGAAAACACCTGATGAACTCAGCACTGAAGCCATCATTTTGCTTTGTAGGTTTGAATAAGTAGAGGACCTATGTACATCCTTTTCATTTTTCATGGCCCCTCAACTCATAATTTCCAGAACTGACTGGTGATCTGAATGCCTCTGTCTGTGATTGTCCAACTGAAGCCACTATAAGGATTCAGTTTTCAAAAGGGTTGAGAAGTCATCTTTGAAAATCAGACTCCAAAGTGCTGAAAGATGGGTGCCCTATGCTCCTGGCTTCCAGAGTTGATGGTGCTCGTTAATATTCTAATTTTTTTAAGGGAAACTGAACAACGATACCAACTGATACCCTTCTAAAAGTAAAAGAAAAAAGTAAGAGCATATTTTCAAAAAACACAAACTCCTAAACTGTGAAGGGTTGATCCCCACCACCCAGCCCAGCCTCTGTGTGCACAGGGCATGCACAACTCCTTCCATATAATTAAACCATGTTTACATATTTAAAATTTTCAAAACAGTGTGGTGTATGTTCCATCCTAGATGCAGAGCTATACTTTCTTACAAATACCACACTAATAAGATGCACAAAGACTAAGAAAGTATAAAAAATCTTTAATATAGATTTACAGGCATAGCCAGAGCTATGGATAGCTATTTTGAGAGTTACAAAAATGAAAAAACTTTAGCTTAATTTCTTGTCTGATGATAGTGGCAACAATTACTCAGTGCTTTTGCTCTACATGAAGTCACAGCAAGTGTGCTGCACAGCGGCATGAGCTCTAGCTAAAAGGGGCCCAAGTGCCAAAGCAGAGGGGTCTGAGAAATACTCAGAGGCAGAGAGCACATAAACATTTCGAGAAACATTCATATCAACATTCTGATAAACATTTGACACTTCTCCTATTCCTATACTCCTCCCTCAGCATAAAGCATTGGCTAACACTGGAAACTCTACCAGGAAATATCAACCTTTGGACAAACCTGTTACGCTGTAGTGGCATGAGAGTCGCGTGGATTGTGACATCTCTCTGTTTGCCTCAGATGGTGTGTACGTCAGTATCAGCCCCTTAACAACTCTTACACACGGTGCCGACTGCGATGCAGTCACTTGACATGGCCCATTCCAGCACTTTACGACGGCATTTCAAACCCACACAGAGCTAGTCAGGCTTCCCCACAAGGTAGGAACGATTCCCCTCATCAATCCCTTCTACTTTAAGCCCATGGATCTCATTCGCCAGAGCTCCAACATTTGCCTCCACAAGCGTCACTTAAGATTTTATAACAGATTTTAAATCTGAGCGCATTAAGTTGAGGTTGTCTCCCACCACTGTGGAAATGAGGAATTACTGGGATATCACTGGTAGTTCTTCACAGTAAAGCTGCCCTGTTTTATAGTGAAGTGTTTGACAAGAGGAAGGTGACAGTGTGCTTACATCCAGCTGGCAGCACAAATGGTGACACCAACTGCTCTGTCCCAGCCCTAGACTGAGAAGTCATAATATGTCGAATCTAATAAGGCACCTCATTCTGTAGCAAAAGGACTGCAGGGAGAAGTAATCTTGGACTACACTCAGAAGAAAAGACTGCAAATATGTTTTCCTTAAATAAATTTTTATTTGGACATGAACTTATGTAGATTGATTAATTTAGTCATCAATGGCTCTGACTTTGGATTTCAGGAAAGCCATTGTACCAAGTATTGCAAAGCACCAGGAAATGGAAAACACCTTCCGTAATAAAGGTAGCATTTCCAGTTGGGACTTTCTGCAAGGCTGGGTACTGATCTGACATTTTCACAGAATCATAGGATGTCAGGGGTTGGAAGGGACCTCAAAAGACCATCTAGTCCAACCCCCCTGCCAGATCAGGATCACCTACAGTAGGTCACACAGGAATGTGTCCAGGCGGGTTTTGAAAGTCTCCACAGAAGGAGACTCCACAACCTCCCTGGGCAGCCTGTGCCAGGGCTCTGTCACCCTCACAGTGAAAAAGTTTTTCCTAATGTTTTTTTGTCCCTTTAGACCTTCAGTACAAAGACAGATATATGCGAATTTTTTATTAGAATGGCTGTTAACATGCAATTATGTATGAGTTCGTTAAAACTCTAGAAACACTTTGCTATATTGCACTGTGTGGACAAATGGACAAATACGCTGTTCTTTTTACTTAGTTATCCTGTGTAGTGCCTCTGTTCAGTATTTCTCTATCTCAAATGTTTATTTTTCTCTTTAAATTGTATCCATAAAAGATTATAAGAATTTGTTCCTATATCTTATTTCTCCATTTCCACATAAAATATGCAATTTTGCATGTCTTGATTCCATTTGATATTAATGGAAGACGGTAGAGAAGGAAATGGGAAATCCTGAATCAGCACCTAAGGTCAAAACTGATACAGTTAGATAATCTTCCACGGACGTATAAAAGCCAGTGGCGAGAGTCAGTGTTCATTAGCAAATTGACACATGGAGCACGGGGCTGGGAGTTCAATAAGGTGACATTAACATGGCAGCTAGAAAAAAAAATACACTAAGTAAAAGCACTTTTCAAAAGGTGCTGCTGCAATATATGAACAGACTTAAATACGTGCTCAAGGTTCGCCAACGCTAGTGAGAAGAAAACCATTGCAGCCACGTTCCCGGCTTTTTGAACCGCTTCAACTACCGCGAATCGGTTTTGCTCTATGGGATCCAAAGAGCAGAGAGCTCACCCGCTAGTCACCAAGGCAACATTGATCTCATGATGAATGTCAGTCTACAAATTATAAAATTGCTCGGCTCCAGTTTTCTTTCAAGTACGTGGAAATTAATAGCTGTTGTTTGCTTTTTCCCCAGAGAGTTAATGAACAGGACAAACTTTCAAGAAGCGAAAACACGTGCTTCGAGCACTGACAACACAGACCTAAGGGCTCTTAGGATCTGTTACTCAGATTAAACACCCGCTTTCCTCAAAGCGAAGCGTGGCAGGACGCAGCACCAGCGCAGAGCAGCCCCTGGGGTTACG